TATATCTTCCTTTTTTTCATTTTTCAGATAGTCAATCACGGTGGATTGGCAAGCTCCTTCTTATGGTTCGTCCTAAGAGCATTTGATGCTTGAAATTATATCTATTAACCATTTCAGGTTTTCTTGCACTATAAAGTTCTTTATTGGTGTCCAGTCTCTTTTGGAAATTTTCAGGTTCTGCTTTATACTCATCCGTTGAGTTAATTTATCCATGTTCATAATATCTAAAAAGTTTACTAACCATTGCTTTTGAGGTGGAATATCTTTCGTTCTCTACACTCTTGCATAATTTATTCTGGCTGCCGTCACCAGGTAGTTGAAAAGTTCATCTTTGTTCAGCTCTATTTCCAAAACGATTATTCCCAGAAGAAAATATTCCAGTTTTAGTTCTATTTTTATATCCAGTATCTTTTCTATTTTTTCATGGATATTTTTCCAATATGTTTTGGCAGTTTTACATGTCTACCACATATGGTAAAAAGAGCCAGTTTGTTCTTTGCACTTCTAGCATTTATTGTTGTTTTTTTGGTAGCATTTTACCAGTTTCTGAGGTGTGATGTACCACCTATACATCATTTTTAGCCAGTTTTCTTTTAAATCAAATGCGTAAGTATATTTCATTTTCTTGTTCCGTATTATCTCCCAATCCTCTAAATTGATGTAATGTCCAATATTAGCTGCAAATATTGAATGCTTGCCTTTTAGTGTGTGTAAACCACCCTGAGTTCCTTTGGGGGGAGAGAGCGATCTAGAAATAAAGCATCATCATCATCATCATCATTATTGACAGTCTGCATTGTTTAAACTTTCTACCAGATTTGAAGGTGCTAAGGATACGTGTCAGGTTCTGGAACTTCTAGGAATAAAAGCCGCTCACAATGCCGAGATACTGGAAACTTAACTTTATTTTCTGTTTTACCAGAGTACAAGAAAGACAGTTATCATAGAATCATAGAATCAAATAGTTCTGCTGAAGCAGACAGAATGGTGGGTTATATAGTCGCCTGCCCACACACACCCCTCCAACCTCCCTCAGTTCTCATAACAAAAGCCTTATCAGCCCAGTCTTTCCCTCCTTCTCCTCCTTGCATTCCACACGTCAGGGTGACCAATGCTCACTTGACTGGAGTTGAATAAGAAAGGACGAGAGAGAGATATGTGAAATATTCCATTCCACCTGAAAAAGTTTTTCCTAATCCCCTGGATAGAAATGCAGGAATTAAAACTGAGCTATAAGGATTTAAAGGGATTTAAACTCTCAGATGGTGAGAGTTTATACTCCTACTGAGTATAGAGTGGAACTAGGAATGCCCCCAGTAAAAGCTCAAATCTTAATGAGACAGTTTATTACTGGTCAAAAGTAAACTCTATGGATCCCAGTAGACTTCCTCGCCTGTGTGTCTAGAGAATCAAGTCCAGGGTGATCAGAAGTCATCGTGGATGGCGGCTCTGAATAATGAGTTGGCTGGATTCGGTCTGCCTTTGCAATTTCTGGGTGTTCTGGGTCCGGGGGCAGGGCAAATGCTCAAGTGGTGCATTCGGGATGTCTATGCACAGCTGGACCTACAGAGCATAGGTAGGTCTTCAGCCACAAGGTTTTTAGCTTCCCACAAAAGGAATATTCATTTAGAGCACTACCTAACTATTCCACTTCCACTACCCTTAAGAAGAATATATACTAGGGCTAAGTTTGAACAACTCGGTATTATGATGCAAACCAGATTCTACGTCTGGGGAGAACAAATAGTGGAAGATATTAAACATTTCTTAATTGACTGTCCAGCATATACTGAACTGCGAGACATATACTGCATATACTGAACTGCTTGTTGTTTAATATTGCTTTAATCATTCTTAATTTGCTTTAGGTGTTGTATTGTTATGTTGTGTTTTGAAGCCTTGGCCTTTGTAAGCCTCATCGAGTCCTTCGGGAGATGCTAGCAGGGTACAAATAAAGATAATAATAATAATAATAATAATAATAATAATAATAATAATTTACATCCAATATTATCCAACTGCAGGTCCCCCAACAGAAATAATATTCTGACATCCCTCTTGCAAGGTCAGGAAAGATCCAATATAATCAGAGTAAGCCTTTTTATTCTGAAAGCTATTAAGAAAAGAGCAGATTTCCTGAAAGAAGAACCAGGAAAATAAGATTCTGACTATAAATAGAAGGTCAGCTGCTGTCTTCACCTTTTTGCCTTGTTTTTTACTCATGTTCTATTTTGAAATGGTCACATGACTGGTAAAATAAATAAATATTATTATTATTACTCCTACTGAGTAAACCGGTCTTTTTTAAAAAAAATTAAAAATTATTTCAGAAGCATCTTTTGAAAATCAGATATTATTAGGAGAAAAAACGACATAGGGACATAAAAATAGATCAATAAAAACTACCCGAACTGTTTTTATTTATTTTTTGTGACATGATAGACAATATGGGATTATATGATGGTTGAATAATTAAATATGGAAACATTGTGGAATCTATCTTCTTTTCAGAAAGACATAAATCACTTTCTAGAATGGGTATGTATTGTATATGAAAACTAAAATTGAGCATTGACCAATATTTTTTCAGACCCCCATCTAGCTGTAGTACATTTAGAAGACAAAAACTCTTATTTCCATTGGAGATTGGTTGAATCAATATTACAAAAAGAATATAGAGCTGAAAAGCAAAAAATAAAAAAATTACTTCAAAGAGAATTTAGATAAAGATATTTAAATAACACTAATAAGGTGATTATGCAAGGCTTTTCATACAGCAAAGTTCAGAACTAAAAATGAAATTAAAAACAACACAAAAATCACAAGAAATAAAATGAAATGAGGATGAATTGAAGCGGAAACGAGACAACTCAAAAAATCTTCCAAATATAAAAATTATCATTGGCACAAATGTTAATAGCAGTAAAAGAATGTGAGGAAAGAAATTAGATAACTAAAACATTTTGAATGAGCTAACAAACCAAGGAAATGGGTGGCATGCAATTTAAGAAAAGAAAGAAGGAATCAGTGTCATAAATAATTGATAAGGACGAAACAATTACAGAAAGATATAAAATTTTGAAAATATTTCATAAAAATTCAAATTTGTTCAAGAAAGATCGAATTTCAGTGAAAAAGACATAAAAGTATTTCAACATGCTACCCCAATTTACCCAGCTTTTCCCAAGGCCCTGCACTCTCCAGACTGGGGTCTTTCCCACTTTTCCAGCCCCCCTTTCACACCTCAGTCGCCCCCCTTCCCCAGCTGCTCCGTACCTACCCCAATCTGTCCTACTTTTCCAACTACCCCTTTTCTACCTCACCATTTTTTCAACCATTTTCCCATTCCAACTTTTCCTGTTTCCAGTCCTTCTTTTCCACCCTCTTCCCAAGCCAATATTTCTCACTTTTTCTTATTCATATACTCACAGCATTTTCCCCAAAATGTATAATTAAAATAAACTATGGTGATTATTGGAAGGATATAGGAGCACATTTACATTGAAGAAGGTAAGAATAATGATTTAATCAGAGTTGGACAGTCTTAACTTACATTACGGTTTTATGTAAATATTCAAAAACATTTAACCTACTGATGCCTCAATTAATATAATTTTATTGCTATCTATTTTTATTTTGAAATTTACCAGTAGCGGTTTATATTGGAGTCAATAAGTTTTCCCAGTTTTTTATGGCAAAATTGTGGGCCTCGACTTACATTCGGGTCAGCTTATACTCGAGTATATACAGTAGGTTGTTCCTAATATACGAGGGGTATTTTTTTAAGTAAGGTCCGTTTGTTGTAGACACTAGTAGTTCGCACGCATACCGCAACGAGCACGCATGCCTCGGGAACAACTGTGCTCCGTTTCCGCTCTGTAGCTAACCTGTACGTTTCTGTTCTGTGCTTTAAAAATGTTTAAGACTATCAACTCACCCTCCGAATGTGAGGTTCGCTCAGGGATATGGTTTTTGTCAGCAAGGAACCTGCCTGCTGCAGAAATTCATTGACAGATTTGTGAAGTGGACGGTGATACTGTTATGAGTGAAAGCAAAGTGCGTAAGTGGGTACGACAATTCAAAGATGGCCGTGACAACGTCCATGATGAGGACTGCTCTGGTCGCCCTTCTTTGATTACAGTGAACTCTTGGTTATCGGAGCAGGTGGCAAGTTTTATGAAGAGGGTATTTTAAAATTGGTTCAGAGGTATGATAAGTGTTTGAACAAATTTGGCAACTATGTCGAAAAATAGAGTGAAGTATGTACTTTCTGAAAATAAATTTACTTTTTTGAAATAAACTTTCATTGTGTACTTATGTTCCAACGGACCTTACTTAAAAAATACCCCTCGTATTAGGGCTTTTCTGAGTGAGGATGTAATGATATACAATAATAATAATAACATTTTTAAATGAAAAAAGAAGTGCAAACCAGAAAAAGCCATTTCCCCCACTATGCATAAAACTTTAATGTAGGGTTTCTGGATAGTGAAATTATGAATTAGAATAAATCTTGTATATGTCATTAATGTAAGTCAACAATTTTGCTACATTTCTAAGCAAAGATTTTCAATCTGTACAAGCTTTAATAAACATTCCCTTTGTTTGCCTGATCTCAAGTGAGAATATATTTGCAAAAGTTATACCAAGGTTTAACTTGATATAACGTTTGCAATGGTGTGACAAAGTGTTCATCAACACTTTTTTGTCATTTTGTGAGGCATGAAGCACCCGTGGGCAATGAAGGCTAAGGACCTTGTAAAACTACAGCTACTATGATTCCAAAGTATTGAGCCATAGCAGTGAAACACATCAAACCATTAATTATTCAGTGTAGGCACACCCAATGACAAGAGAAGCCACTATGGAGAATAAAACCCATGTCTTCATCTCTGTTCTTCCTCCCTTCTTGGCACTTTGCGATGTCACTGGAATTCCACATTATTGGCCATTGAATCTGGGATTCACAACGGTGGTGGTGGCGCTCTTGAATAGAGGGTTATCAGCCTGCCAATAAAACATCACAGGCAATTGTAGCTTATACAAATAGATGTCTACATTTTCAATTGAGGGTAAACCACAAGATATAAACAATTTAATTACTCAAATAAATCAACATATTTAAGGAAAATGCAGGTTTCTGACAACCTGCCTTTCTCCCTCCCCTCAAACAGGTTACCAAAGGAAGTAGTGGTTTTGTCAGGAAGTTGGGACAGGTCTTTTAAAAAGGACAATTTCAGAGACAAAAAATCTTCCCAGTGAGACAGACCTTGATCTCACTGAGAAGAATTAATAAGTGCTGTAAGCGAACATAGGGTATGGAAGGCGCTTATTTGAAAAGTGCTCTGTCTTTGAAGGATGGTGGAGCTTTGAAGACAGGGCACAAGTGGGCCATGAGACCAGAAACTCCATGGCTGAAGGGTCCTGTCCAGCCTTTTACTGAAGAAGGGGGAGTTCTGAGGGCTGGTGTGAATGTCGCAATTGGCCACCTTGATCAGCATTTAACGGCCTAGCTGTTTCACCTATTTATTTATTTATTTGTTTGTTTATTTATTTACGACATTTATATGCCACCCTTCTCACCCTGAAGAGGACTCAGAGCGGCTTACAAGATATACTATACACACAATGTATTATGTTATTAGCATAGTACAGAATCAGCATTAAATATTACTATATTGTACTATACTATTATATTGTAATATTACTAGTAATATTACATAATATTCGATGCGGCCTTTGTAAGCCGCATCGAGTCCTTCGGGAGATTTTGCGGGGTATAAAGTTAATAATAATAATAATAGTAGTAGTAGTAGTAGTAGTATTATATTGCATTACATTATAATATTATATGTATATACTAGTAATATTACATGTAATATAAATATATAATTATAATATCATATCATATTAGTAGGCGGCCTTGGCCTTTGTAAGCCGCATCGAGTCCTTCGGGAGATTTTGCGGGGTATAAAGTTAATAATAATAATAATAGTAGTAGTAGTAGTAGTAGTATTATATTGCATTACATTATAATATTATATGTATATACAATATGCTATATTATATATTAGCATAGCACAGGAGACAGGTGGAACCCTGGCCCCTCTCTCTTCACTCTGGCCCAGAGCGGCAGTTGGTGCTGGGGGCAGGAGTCCCCAATTGATGACACATGCAGGAGATAAGACGGAACTGTCCCCTGGCCCCTCTCTCTTCACTCTGGCCCAGACCGGCAGTTGGTGCTGGGGGGAGGAGTCCCCAATTGATGACATATCCAGGAGATAGGGTGGAACTGTCCCCTGGCCCCCCCTCTCTTCACTCTGGCTCTCAAACAGATAAGAGTTCTTTCTCCCACCCTGGACATTCCACAGAAGATGTTCTCCATACCAGACCAATTACTTTGCTTTGGTAGCTTATGTGTGTATGTGTCCCTGCAAGTCAGCTGTTGACTTAAGGTGGCCCCATTAATTTCACAGGGTTTTCTTACATCCTTTTTGGATGGGGTGAATTTAGCATCCTTGGATACTTTCGCCCTGTCTAGAGGTTGGAGCACCATGCCGGACGGACATCACACAATGTTGTGTGAATTCCGGTGGAGGACCCATCCCCAACTGGGAGGAAAGTGTTGCTGGATGCTATTTCCCCAATACAAGAGGCTTCCCATGTTGTGACCTCTCTGCAAGGGTAATCCTTTCCCCATGTGTTGGGGAAAGCAGGATGCTTCGCCTGGTCTTTATGATGAAATCCTTAGGCAAGGAATACTCAGAGATGGTTTTGCCAATTCCTTCCTCTGAAATACAGTGTACAACACCTGGAATTCCTTGGTGGCCTCCCCTCCTTAAAAAATAAGCCGGCCTTCTCCCCCACCAAGAAATTGCTCATAAAACACAGCATCCTTACATCATTCCACTTTGCCTTGGACTTCTCTTTTTCAAATCTATGATATTCTCTGCGATCAAACAATTCTGTCAGTAGCCGCCAAAGCAAGAGGAGGAGAAGCCCAATGAGAGCTACACCAGCAATGGTACCTCCCACAATGGCTGCAACATTAGGTGGCTCTGGACACTCTAAGAACAAAAGGGAAACAGAAAATTTGCATTATCTGAATGAACAATAAATACAATTTCATCACACCAACCTGCTGTGTCTCGATAGTTGGGTTAATGTAGATAATTGATATGTAACGGGTTGACCACCTCTGGCATAATACTTCACTTCATTAGTGCAACAGTGCTGGGTCACTAATCTGTAGTCTCATGTTTAGTCTTCCACACATCCTTTGTAATCCCACCTTCCTGCACTATTCTTTACCCAACATGACTTAAAGTTTGTGTTTTTAAAATTATTTTTATTCTTTTAAGTGATTGTAAAATTTTAGCATTAGAAATTGGCAAAGATATATATAAAATAAAAGCACAGCAGCGGTCTTGGATATAATTAGGGAGACAGGGAGAAAAGGAGCATCCCCAGAAATCATGTCACTGTTGGCATGCTGGCACAAAAACAGAAGGGACTCGTCCCACTAAGGTAGGTAATGAGAATGTAGCAGGATAGGAGCTAATAAAGACTTTTTAAATTGGGAGAATATTTAGAAGAAGAGGAGGAGGAGAAAGAGGAGGAGGAGGAGGGAAGGAAGGAAGGATGGGGACAGCAATAATTAAGAAGAGAAAAGAAAACACAAACCATGGGGGAGAAGATTGGAAGTTTTCTATTGTTTCTACTTTTAATCTATTCTTTTTCTCACTTTCTAAATCCCTCCCCTAGATCCCTAGCAATTTGGGTGGGCTTCAAAAATATTATTATTATTTTATCGCTTCGACCCATTTGCGTTAGACTCCCATACTATACCTAAATTCTAGTCTATCTTTTTCCTTTTAAGATAATTTAATTAATAAAATACATAAGAATTATTTGAAAAGAAGAAGATTTTATTTATACCCCGCCCTCTCTCTCTGAGAGGACTCAGGGTGGTTACCCTACTTTTCAGTCACAAAGCCATTTATAGCAGTGGGTTGTTGTAGGTTTTTTCGGGCTGTATGGCCATGGTCTAGAGGCTTTCTCTCCTGACGTTTCGCCTGCATCTATGGCATGCATCCTCAGAGGTAGTGAGGTCTGTTGGAACTAGAAAAAGGGTTTATATATCTGTGGAATGACCAGGGTGAGACAAAGGACTCTTGTCTGCTGGAGCTACGTTCAGCAAAGGACAAGAGGGATCCTCTCACCTCTGCAGGAGTCTACTGTGTACCATGCAGCTATGGACAAGTCTACATAGGGACCACCAAACGCAGCATTGCCCAAACACAAAACAAGGAACATGAAAGGCACTGCAGACTACTTCAACCAGAGAAATCAGCCATAGCAGAGCCTGATGAACCAGCCTGGACACAGCATGTTATTTGAGAACACAGAAATGCTGGACCACTCTCACAACCACCATGTCAGACTACACAGAGAAGCCATTGAAATCCACAAGCATGTGGACAATTTCAACAGAAAGGAGGAAACCATGAAAATGAACTAAATTAAAAAACTCTAAAATTGCAACAGCACAATAACAGAGAGGAAACAAACAAGGACATCTAATCAGCTCTCAACAAAAGTTTGCTCCAGGCACAGTCAGCCCATTGTATGCTAATCAAGGTGGTCAGTTGAAACATTCACACCTAGCTCCAGCAGACAAGAGTCCTTTGTCCCACCCTGGTCATTCCACAGATATATAAACCCTTTTTCCTAGTTCCAACAGACCTCACTACCTCTGAGGATGCTTGCCATAGATGCAGGCAAAACGTCAGGAGAGAATGCCTCTAGACCATGGCCATATAGCCCGAAAAAACCTACAACAACCCAGTGATTCCGGCCATGAAAACCTTCGACAATTAAAGACTTACAAAATGTTAATTTCACCTCAGGCTTACAATCCACATGAGATGAATAAGATGTAATACATAATACATGATGTAGTTGTGTCTTGCTGGCTGCCTCCCTCCCTCCCACTCAGTAGCCAGCTTTACTTGTCATGAGTGAGCATCATGGTGGAAGGGAGAGGGAGTCAAAACTGTACAATACAACACAACACAACACAACACAACACAACACAACACAATACAATACTTTATTACGGTCACTGACCAGCACAAAGTAGGGCACAAGAGCTCTGGGCAGGGAAGCACAGCTCCCCAGTGAAGTAGTTATTAAAAAGTAGATTAGTAGAGGGATGCACACAGTGTTGTATGATAGGGACTAGTACCAAGGGCACTTCCACACAGGGGAAAAACCCATACCAAAGCGGGTTTAAAAAACCCACTTCAACAAGGCTTTTAGTCCCCACATCTCCCTCGAAAACCTGGGCTTTTCTGGGGGGTGTCTAGATGTCCTCCTGATAACTACCGAGAGGGTACCCAGGCACCTAGAAGCCCCCCTAAACTAACAACATTAAAAAAAAAACCTTACTGGCCCACCATTAAGCTGCTCCAGCACTCCTCTTGGCAAATAGAAATGATGCGCCAGGAGGCAGGGGGAGGAGCTAGTGGGGAAAGGGGAGTTGGGGAGGGGGTGCCATCTTGCAGCTTTGGGCTCCAGGAGCCCAAAAGTATGAGATTGCTGTGGGAACTGACCTCCGGGTAGTCCCAGGACTACTTGGTAATCAGTCCTCACAGGCCCAATACCCCATTAGACCTGGGCCTTTTATTATTTAATTCGTTTTTACTGGAGGCGTTGTTTGGACGCCTCCAGTAAAAGCCCAACAGGCGACACATTTTGGGGCCTGTCTGGAAGGGCCCCAAAAGCGATGATCCAGCTGCAATGTTGGTTTGCCTGCTTTGTGTGCTAGTTAAAAGAATGCCCTCTGCCCCTGGGATGTACATGATTTATTATTATTATTATTATTATCTTTATTTGTACCCCGCTAGCATCTCCCGAAGGACTCGATACGGCTTACAAAGGCCAAGGCCACAATAAAACAACAATATAACAATTACATATAAACCAAAAGCAAATCAAAAACATTAAAGCAATAACAGTAAACAGTAAAAACAGCACACCGTGACACAATAAAACTAGGCCGGGCAAATGTACTGGGTACAGATTAAAAAGTGCTGAGTATGCTGAGTGATATAAGGATTTTGGATAGGTGCAATGTGTGGACAATCTTAATCTCTAATAAAGTGCTTTTGGGACATGTTGCTGGGGTTTCCTATTCTGGAAAGGCACACCGGAATAGCCAGGTCTTCAAGCTCTTCCTAAAGACTGCCAACGTAGGGGCTTGTCTGATGTCCTTGGGGAGGGAGTTCCAGAGTCGGGGGGCTACCACAGAGAAGGCCCTGTCCCTCGTCCCCACCAGCCGCGCTTGCGACGCAGGTGGGATCGTGAGCAGGGTCTCTCCGGATGAACGAAGAGAGCGTGCGGGTTCATAGACGGAGATGCAGTCACGCAGGTAGGCAGGTCCCAAACCGTTTAGGGCTTTGTAGGTGAGCACCTGCACCTTGAATTGGGACCGGAAAATGAACGGCAGCCAGTGGAGCTCCTTGAACAGGAGGGTTGACCTCTCTCTGTAAGGAGCACCAGTTAACATCCTGGCCGCCGCCCGTTGGACTAGCTAAAATTTCCGAGCCATTTTCAAGGGCAGCCCCACGTAGAGCACATTACAGTAGTCCAATCAAGAGGTGACCAAGGCATGGACCACCCCGGCCAGATCAGCCTTTACGAGGTACGGTTGCAGTTGGCGCACAAGTCTCAGTTGTGCAAAAGCCCTCCCGGACACCACCGACGCCTGAGCCTCAAGCGTAAGTGATGAATCCAAGAGGACTCCCAAACTTTGGCTGGGGCAGTCTTTTATGTTGTAAATGTGTTGTGGGGTGAGAGTAGTTATAGCCAAACTATCTGTTTTGTTGGTATGAATGGGGCTTATTAAAAAAAAACCTGTGCCCAACATACCTTTCTTAGGATCTACTGTAATAGCATACTTCTCCCTTCCATCCATTTGAGACATAGTGTAACTGATCCAACAGTTTTGAGAATCCTTCTCCTTGCATTGTTTACTTTTGGGTGCCACCGTGTCTTTCAAATGAATATTTTGACACTGCTGGGTACAATTCTTCTGAAACGGGCCACTCCCAAAGGCCTGGCATTCAACACAGGAACTGAAAAATCAACAAGAAACAACAAGCATGTTTTTAAGGAGAATTTCCCAGAACAGAGGTGCAGTGGTCTAGATGCTATGCAGTACATTTGAAGCATATAAAAACACTTTGGACCTTATCTTGCAGGGGAACCTTTTTGGAAAGGCGTGACTTTTTAGCGACATAACTTTTTGGAAAACCAGAATCTTCATAGCCTTTTGGAAGTGTGACCTTTTTGGAGATTAATTAGTATTCACACTATTTAGAATAATCACAACCTTTTTGTAAAGTATGATCTTCCTGAGAAGAGTTAAAAGCTCGCTTGAGTCAATCTTCTCCTTAGTGGTAAATATCCACTAAGATTCATGCAAGGCAATTCAGGTTTCTCAGCTGTTAGACTGATATACCTGGCTTCTTGGCAGAGAATCGGGGCAACCTTCCCACACAGAACCCCCATGACCAACAGAAAATACTTAAGGCCATTCAATCCAACTTCCTTCATCAGGGCAAGAAAATGTAATCAAAGCCCTCCTGACAAAGAGCCATCCAGCCATAGATATAGATAGATAGATAGATAGATAGATAGATAGATAGATAGATAGATGATAGATAGCATACACAGATATAGTATCATAGATTTGAAAGGGACCCTTAAAGAAGGACAATGATATGTTGCATGTTCCAGGGTGGGCAAACCAGACACTCTCCACATCAACACTGACAAAGAAACAGCAAAAAATACTGTTTACCCACAAGCATAAAGAAATTACATAGATTAGAAACCAACACTTTCTCGTTACTTTATTTTCCAGATCAACAGACTGGGCCACAGCAACGCATGGCAGGGTACAGCTAGTATTGTATAAATGGAATACTTTTTTATATTGACATCCAAAATATAGCTGCGTCCACAGCCATGGGAACTTAAGGGAAGACAAGGCTCCCTTGTATCACTTACATATATTTGGGGCAGGGTGATGGACAGCCAGGACAGTCTTCACAAAATGGGGGCTGGTAGCCTGGGTCACAGGTGCAGGTATTGCACTGACACTCCCCACGGAGACTGCATACATTTGAATTGCGGTTCAGGGAACAGCCTTCAGTTGAGGATCTGCACTGACAGGCACTGCCATCAAAGCCAGGGAAGCATTTGCATTTCCCACAGTCGCACCGTCCTCGTTCTGCAAAGAGGAGAAGTAAAGGCAGAAAATATTGTTCATGTCCATACTTCAAACATGAGACAATTTTAACAGAAAGTAGGGTTGAATAAGAAAGGAAAGAAAGCTATCTTTTTGACACTGATAATTCTCTTAAGTTTCTCATACTAAAATAACATCTGTTTCTTGTAAATGGCTGTAGTGATCTTGATAAAAGAGCAGGCTGTCACTAATGCAAGAAATTTGGAAAGATATTGAAAAGTAATGATGCCCTGTATATACATGTATATACATGCCCCATATATACAGGTCTAGAATTTTAAATTTAAAAAAAAGTCAAAAAGCTTGGGTCAACATATCCACGGATCAACATGAAGCACTGTACCATCAGAAAAGGAACCACCCGCTTCTTTGAGCAGAGTGGCAAAGAAAGCAAGAGCATAGTCTCTCCCAAGATAACCTAAAAGAAACACTGAACCCTTTGGCTCCTTTGAGAGAAAGCTCCAAAGAGCCACTGCTATATTCCCACCCAGGCATTCAAAAAGATGGGAAGTTGAAACAGAAGAGGGAATCAGAGTTTCTTCAAGTCCTCAGGGAACAAACAAAGGTCTTACCTTTCACTACTCAGAGAAGGGAATGATTAAAAAACAGAGTACATTATTGACTCTTATTTTTTAAAAAGGTAGGGTAGAAAAGGTCTTTTTGAAGGCCTGGGCTAGAAAATGATGGCAGTGATGCCCAGGGCAGCTAGCTCCCTTGAGGCGACCATGACACTTTTGCCCCTTTGTAGAATGGCCCTTAGCATACACAAGATATAAAATATCTTGGATAACAGATTAAAGACACACTTTCACATTAAAACCCAGGTCCAATCTACCTGGTGCTTAAAAAACAGCCCAGTTGATAGGAAAATACCTTAAGAAATGATTGACCGGTGCCTCTTTCTGGGCATACTAACAAGTGTTTTAGCTATGGTGCCACTCCACCTATTTATTTATTTATTGCATTTCTATCCCATCCTTCTCAACCCCCAAAGGGGGACTACATCATCTCCTGCCACTGCATCTGCCCAGTAGCTGTTTGAACCATTTTGTCTGCATTCTTAGCAAAAGGCTATTTGATGTGGGAGACCCAAGACAACACTGCTTCCCTCAGCATGGCCTCTCGCCCTACAGGAGCACTGAATCCCACTTCCACAGAAAGGCACTGCCATGGTGGGTCCTCTCTGGACCAGGTCCTAAATCAAGGGTCTCCAAACTAAGGTCCGCAGGCCAGATGCACCCCTCCAAGGTCATATACCCAGTTTCTGCCACAAAAGTTTAGAGTTAGAGTCACTCTAAGTCTGAAATGTCTTTAAGGCACACAACAACCACCCTAATTAACTTGACTATTTCGTTAGGCAAGGACAAGCCCACAGATCCCATTGAAATACTGTTGTTCTTTATTTTAAATACTGTATTGTTCTTTCATTTTTTTGGGGGGGGGGGGAAGGGTTGCACCACAAATAAGATATGTGAAGTGTGCCTAGAAATTTGTTCAAGTTTTTTTTTCAAACTATAGTCTGTCCCCCAACAGTCTGAGGGATCGTGACCTGGCCCTCTGCTTTAAGTGTTTGAGGGCCCCTGCCCTCAATGGTAAGTCATCCATGAAAGTAATTGACAGTAATATCAGCTGAACTGACCTACTTCTAAGTTCAGTGGCTGTGATCAAAGTGCAAATCAGAGCCTTAGGCAATGAAAAGATTGGTGTCATGTAATGGTCAGTGAGCTGGAAATTGGTGCCATGTAATGGTCACTGAGCTGGAAGATGCAGACACATTGATACAAAAAGGTATAATTATGAAAGTGTAGACATGAAAATATATTCTTTACATCCCTATAGCAAAATAACAGCAACAGGAAACAAAGGGAATAAATGTGACATTCCTTCTCATAACCTGCTTTCATCAGTCACTCACCTTCTCCTCCACAAAGTTGGCCATTGTGAAGTTCACAGTTAACATTATCACACTCGCAGAAGGTACCATAAATCTGCTTTTTGGGATTATCACTGGTATGGCAAACACACTGTCCACATACACAATCCCCTAGGCCAGAGCAGATGACAGAGGCATTGTCCTTTCGGCAGCTCTTTTCCAGTTCCTTACTGGATTTGCCTCCAGTTTTACAATCACAATTCTTTCCAGTGAAACCGGAATCGCACCTGGCAGGACAGAAGATATATTCAGAATTTAGGACAACTGAGAAACAGTTCTTCTAAAATCTAGATTTTAGATGATTCCAAAATAAGTGTAAAATGTATTTAGTCATTCAAGAATAAACCTTTCAGAAAATTTAGCACTTAGAATCATAGAATCAAAGAGTTGGAAGAGACCTCATGGGCCATCCAGTCCAACCCCCTGCCAAGAAGCAGGAATATTGCATTCAAAGCACCCCTGACAGATGGCCATCCAGCCTCTGTTTAAAAGCTTCCAAAGGAGCCTCCACCACACTCCGGGGCAGAGAGTTCCACTGCTGAACGGCTCTCTCAGTCAGGAAGTTCTTCCTCATGTTCAGATGGAATCTCCTCTCTTGCAGTTTGAAGCCATTGCTTCACGTCCTAGTCTCCAGGGCTTCCACTTCCACTTTGATTTCACAGAGTGAATATTTTTCTTTTTCTTTGCCACAAAAAAAAAAACACTGCCAAAGGGCTTGATTAACAAATGAGTGAGTAGTGGTCAAAGGCTTGCTTACTGCCTGATTTCTTTGGGTTCCTCCACAACACAACACAACACAGGGAAAGGTCAGAATCTCTTTGATCTAGATACACTTAGACTGTTCTGTTTGCAGGACTCATTGTAAAAGGACTTATTAAGAAAGGCTAAAAGACTGACACATTTATTAAGGCTGCCATTGTCTACAATGCACTTCAGCAAATGTTTGTTGTTGTTGTTGTTGTTGTTCATTCGTTCAGTCGTTTCCGACTCTTCGTGACTTCATGGACCAGTCCATGCCAGAGCTCCCTGTCGGTCGTCACCACCCCCAGCTCCTTCAAGGTCAATCCAGTCACTTCAAGGATACTATCCATCCATCTTGATGTAAATGTTTACATCATAAAAATGCCATTTTAAATAATACAGGTAAACATATTATATCCTGCATTTCCTCAATTGTAAGTCGCCATCGATTGTGATGCACCTTAATTTCAGTAACACCACCAATAACAAAAATACATGATACACCTGTGATGCTAAGACACACCCCATTTTTATAGATGTTTACATAGGAAAGAAATTAATCTTAGAATAGAAGAAGTTCAGTAATAAAATGTTCATGGTCTTTAAAGCTGCCCTGAGTCCCCTTGGGGAGAGGGGTGGGATATAAATAAAATGTTGTTGTTGTTGTTTTTGTTGTTGTTGTTAATATTATCATTATTATTAGGTGCTGCAAGATTCTCTATATTGTCAAGGAATAGCTTGTAATATAAAAATCCTGGTGTCTGGTCCAATTCAATATTGTTCAAAGATCTAGAATCTGAAATGTGATTTAAGAGCATTCCTATAACCACCAACATTCTGCCTTTCCCACCTCCAATCAGAAAATTAGGCAACCAAAGGAAATATAACTCATTGGACTACTTTAACACAACCGCCTGCAGTGATTCAGAAATACAGAAATACACTTGAAGTAATTCCCACTTGAGGGAATAATTCCCACATAAGGGACCAGAGGTTGGAGCACTGACTCTGGAGTTTAGGGTCTAAAGATCTACTCAGTTATGGAAGCCCGACTTAAGCAAGTTATGCCATCTTAGCACTCTCAAGAAAGCAAGGGCTCTCTCTGAACAAATTTTCCCATTATAGGGTAAGTTTAGGGTTTCCAGAGCCCCCGGAGGCGCAGTGGGTTAAAGCACTGAGCTGCTGAGCTTGTTGATCGAAAGGTCGCAGGTTCGATTCCGGGGAGCGGCGTGAGCTTCCGCTGTCAGCCCTAGCTTCTGCCAACCTAGCAGTTCGAAAACATGCAAATGTGAGTAGATCAATAGGTACCGCTCCGGCGGGAAGGTAACGGTGCTCCATGCTGTCATGCCGGCCACATGACCTTGGAGGTGTCTACGGACAACGCTGGCTCTTCGGCTTAGAAATGGAGATGAGCACCACACCCCAGAGTCAGACATGACTGGACTTAATGTCAGGGGACTACCTTTACCTACCTTTACCTTAGGGTTTCCATTAATCAGAAATAAGAACATTTTTCACCTGACTCAATAAAACGTAATCCAGAATAAAGAGGGCTCTTTTTATCCTATGTTACTTAGTCATGTGGCCTTTAAAAAAGGATTGGGATACTGAGAGGAAAGTATTACTACACCACATTACTGATTTGTACAATTCTTACACAAATATTGATGTTTGGTGACACATTGTCCAAACAGCCAGCCACTGTGTCATTCTTCTTTTCTCTTGTTGTGAGTCAACTGGCAAGGAGCCCAGGTACAAACTTCAAACTTGGTCATTTATTAAAGAGATATTTATCTTTTAAACCTCTAACATACAGGGTCAAACTTTAGTAAATAAAATTATCTAGATGGAGGTCACAAGGGGGCACGAAAGAAAGAAGGATGCTCCATTTTACAAGGGGAGGGGGTTTGAAGGAGGAAAACTATTTCTTCTTGTTTTCCTGTTATTCCCTCCACCCATGTTGCTTTTGTGGAAATAACCCTCATTTATGATACGGAAAGAAGGGAGAGGGAATAACCAGCAAAAATTGGGAAAATGGTTTTTCTTCTTCAGCTCCCCCCACTCCATAAAATGGATTATTCTTCTCACTCTGAGCCCCCTTTTGGAGTCTGCCCAGATAATGGAACAGTACCAAAATTAATTAATATTTCTAATTTCACTGAGCACACATAAAGTACTTTTCATCTCTTTAACCATGGCTATGGAACAAGTGCTTTCTCTCTTGATAGTGACATTTAATACCACTGTATGCTGGAAATTTTGAAAAGATAGTGATTAAAAAATAAATTAAAAATGGAAAACACTTTAGGGCTCAGGAACATGTGCAGAGAGCAGGAGGTAGATGATGGTTTTGTAATAGTTCTCCTGTTGCCACCCACTTTTTAAGGTGTGTACACACAATGAACAATCTTTATTTTTGTACAACTTTCAGGAGGTCCTTGTTCTCTTTCTTTGATAAAAATGAAAGACTCTGTTCAGACATGATATCATTCTGTGTATGTGCTGGTTGCTTTGCTCATCACTCCCTAAACTTGAAAGCCCCCCCCCCCCCATCTTTCTTCTAGAGCATCAGTTCTCAAAGTGTACTCCGCAGAGTGTTATGATTAAAAAATGTATCGTTTGAGTGAGATTGTATGAAAAACGTACAAATGCGGCCTAATTGGGCTGAAGATACCATTCTAACGAATGAATCCTGGAAACCTACAAGAAACAGGTGAAGAACTCAGGTTGTTGTTCATTCGTTCAGTTGCTTCTGACTCTTCATGACCTCATGGACCAGTCCACACTAGAGTTCCTTGTCAGCCGTCATCGCCCCCAGCTCCTTCAAGGTTAAGAGAGTCACTTCAAGGATCCCATCCATCCATCTTGCCCTTGGTCGGCCCCTCTTCCCTTTTCCTTCCATTTTCCCCAGCATAATTGTCTTCTCTAAGCTTTCCTTTCTTCTCATGATGTGGCCAAAGTACTTCATCTTTGCCTCTAATATCCTTCCTTCCAGTGAGCAGTTGGGCTTTATTTCCTGAAGTATGGATCTTCTCGCTGTCCAAGGCACTCTCAGAACTTTCCTCCAGCACCACAGTTCAAAAACATCTATCTTCCTTCGCTCAGCCTTCCCTAAGGTCCAGCTCTCACATCCATAGGTGACTATGGGAAATACCACTGCTTTAACTATGCGGATCTTTGTTGCCAGTGTGATGTCTCTACTCTTCACTATTTTATCAAGATTGGACTGCTCTCCTCCCAAGAAGTAAGCGTCTCCTGATTTCCTGGCTGCAGTAATCTTTGCACCTAGAAATACAACGTTTGTCACGGCCTCCACGTTTTCTCCCTCTATTTCCCAGTTGTCAATCATTCTTGTTGCCATAATCTTGGGTTTTTTTATGTTTAGCTGCAACCCAGCTTTTGCACTTTCTTCTTTCACCTTGATTAGAAGGCTCCTCAGCTCCTCCTCGCTTTCGGCCATCAAAGTGGTATCATCTGCATATCTCATGGACTGTAATTAAAAATTGCTGATGAGACTTGAAACAATTAATTGTTGACATTGCTGACTTGATGAACTCTTGGTCGAAAAACAACTTGTTTACATTGTCAAAGACAATGGTTCTTTTAAGTAAGGATGTCAACACTGTGGCTCCTTACAGAAATGTTTACAAGGCTCCTTGATAAGGAAAGCCATTTAAACAAAATCAACATCTGTCCAGGAACTGATGGAATCTGTCAGTAATTTACAACTTTCAGGACCACATCAACAGAAAATACTCTCAGAAAGTGTCAGATCAACTGAACACCATTTCTGAATACCATTATGAACAGCCGCCTCCTTTCAAGAAGAGGATCATCTTCAACAAGAAGAATGGTAAGAATGCTTGAGGAATGAATGATGAATGGATGATTGAATGTTAGAGTATATGTGTAAATGTTGATGGAATATCCCCCTTCGCCTATGCAACCAATATAATTATTATAAAACTCAGTACTTGAGTCTGTGTCTACTTCTTTCTCTGAAAGTGCCTAATGCAACCTGTCTCACTGAAAGCGGAATAAAAGAACCCATTTAATGTTTTTAAAAGTACATATGACAAGAGCCCTTGGGGCTCTGTGAAGCATACTGAGTGGCTCCGTGATTCCCTCCTCCTCCTCCTACTCCAAGCTTTCCCTCCACTTTCCTACTCCTCCCTCCCCACCTCCCTTGCCCCCCAAAGCCTTTTTTCCTCACCTCCCTTGCCCCCAAGTGCCTTTTTGCCCTACCTTTCTTGCTGCCCAGATCCTTTCTCCTAATACTCTACATAAGTTTAAGTCATCAGAAATGAGCCAAGTCATGGACAATAGCAGATAGTTTGCATATAACCGCCTACAATCAGAGCTCATTGAATGTACTTCCCCTCTTTCGTTTGTCTTTTTTCAAGAGTTCATCTTTTGCATACCAGGAAGTTATGAAAAATGGAATTGATCTTCTGTAAATATAATAAGTCTGAGAATTTGCTTCAGATCAAATGCTGTCTTCTCTATATTGTATTGTGTTTTACTTAATTGTTTTTTACATTTAGGTTTTCTTTAAGCTAAATCTACTTTCTGCGTTTCATCTGACAAAATCAAAACAAGCAGTGTGTGCATTCTGAGGGATCAGCTTTTGATTGACTGATCAGATACACATATGTACCATTGGCAAGTAACCCATTGAACAGTGAAGATGTTCAACATTTATCAGCAGGGTTGGCCTACTACTTTGATATGTGAAATATGCAACTAGGGACAGCGCCAGTAGCATTGGAGTAATTTGTTTACCTGCAAATACCACAGTCTATTGTTCCATGCCCACTACATTCAGTGCCATCAGGTATTTTCTCATCACATTCACAGTTGCACCGACTGCGTATACGAACAGTGACGGAGGAGTCAGAGAACCCATGAGGCTGGATAGTAAAGGTCTGGTTGTCAATGCACTCTGTTGCTGTAATTTTAACCTGAAAAATGACCTGGAAAAAACCCCAAAATATAGATCAATTTATACTCAATTTAAGTTTAAAGTAGTTTCACTAGATTTTAGAGGTAGTCACATCTAAATGAAACACCTTCAAATCTAATTGAAAATCAGTCAGTGACAGGAGCCACACTTCCCAATTGAGGTAGTTTCACAATGGTCCTCTTGTCCTATTGACAAACGGCATAATAGAAATGTGAAGGGATTCTCAGTAAAGCAGAGCATTTTTTTCATTGGTAGCAGAGAGTGATATGCTTAAACTAGTTGCATATTTCAAAATATTTGAAAATATAGGATAGCAGAACAGTTAAGGGGTTCTCTAAAAAGCACCCAATAAATACAAATTAGGGGTGTTGCAGTTTTTCAGGTCGCTCCTGACACGACAAAAAAAGGGGTGTGCAAAATGGTAGAAATCTGTTCTGTTTTCATTTTGTTTGTTTGTTTATTATTTATTTATTTACCATATTTATATACCGCCCCTCTCAACCCGGAGGCAACTTGAGGCGGTTTACAGTCGGCAGTCAATGCCCCCAAACAACATAAATACAGTTAAAAACATTACATATAATATAAACCATATAAAAGCAATAAAACAATCCCCTTGGTTCAGTTTTTGGGAAGATTCTGGGAAATTAGCAGGGGGCCATGCAGATTCGTAATTCAGGAACTGAAGTTCTGTTTACATTTTGGGAAGCATTTTCCCAAAACAGAAGGGGGGGGGGCGCAACCGAAATTCAAAATGAAAACAGAACAAAAACAGAATGGACTTTTGCCGTTTTGCACACCCTTAATACAGATTAGCTGACTCCTAACCCTAACCTACCCCCACTGCTACATATGGTGGTGTGGTTAGGATGTTGGTGTGGGATTTGGGAAATTGGACTGAATCATACAATTCACTGGGGGACCTCTGGGCCAGATAGTCTTTCTCAGCTTGGTCCAGCTGTAAAGACTGTTGTGATACTATACAAGAGAAGAGAGCCTCATACATTCCTTCAGGTAATGTCCCATTACTTCAGGTAATGGGACAAAGAGGAGGATATCAGTTCAATTCAGCTTCACCTACCTCATTCGCTTCCGGTACCACACCAGAAGTCATACCAGAAGCGACTTGCAGTCTCTCAAGTTGCTCCTGACACGATGAAAACAAAAAACAAAACAAAACAAAACAAAACCTACCTCATCATTTTTCATGACATTGTCACATTCTCCTTTTGGTTGATCCTTGGTATTTATTTTGTTAGTGCAGAAGGAATCATATGTGACCTTTACAGAACTTGGCAAAGGACTATGATCCAAAATAATTTTGGAAGATAAATTCTGTAAGAAAATGGAGATGGTTGCAAGAATGTAAGGGGCTAGAAGTATACATGCATATTATTTAGAAAAGAGGTGGATAAGTGTGGCCTATGGGGTTAAAAATGGGGAAAATAATATTTTGGCCCCAGCTGCCCTTTATTGTTAATCCATCCTCCGTTGCATTCTCATTCTTTGAAAAGTAGGTAACGTATATACTCGACTATAAGCCGAGTTTTTCAGCCCTTTTTTCAGGCTGAAAAACCTCCCCTCGGCTTATATTCGGGTCAGGGTCCTGGCGGTGTGTGGGGCTGAAAGAAGAGCCCTTTCCCCATGCCTTCCCACCAGGATCCTGATCTCTCCTTCTCTCTCGCCCCCTGCACGCCTTTCTCTCCTCTGAGCTTTGATTATGCTTCAACTGCATGAAGGCAGAAGGGGGTTGGACTAGATGGGCTTTAGAGGTCCCTTCCAACACCATTATTATTATTATTATTATTATTATTATTATTATTATTATTAAGGATGGATTGCCATCTGCCAGGAGTGCTTTGATTGTGGTTCAGCTGCATGAAGGCAGAAGGGGGTTGGACTGGATGGGCTTTAGAGGTCCCTTCCAACACCATTATTATTATTATTATTATTATTATTATTATTATTATTATTATTAAGGATGGATTGCCATCTGTCAGGGGTGCTTTGATTGTGCTTCAGCTGCATGAAGGCAGAAGGGGGTTGGACTAGATGGGTTTTAGAGGTCCCTTCCAACACTATTACTATTATTATTACCTCAAATTTTTAAATTTCTTTTAATTATAATTATTTAATGCAACTGTTTATTTTAACTTATTGTACAATGTTTAGTATTGTCTTTTGTTTAGAATTTTTATGGTTTTCTGTTTATATAGGCATTGAATGTTTGCCTGTTACTATGTTGGAAGCCACCCTGAGTCCCCATGAAGAGATAGGGTGGGATACAAATGAAGTTTTATTATTATTATAAAATTATTTGTTGATACCATATTTTTTTTGTTGACCCTCCTTTTCTACTTACAGAGCTAGTTTACCATTTTTCTTTGAAATATGGTAAATATTCAAAAACATTTCACCTACTGATGCCTCAATTAATGTAATTTATTGATATCTAATTTTAATTTTGAAATTGACCAGTAGTGGCTGCATTTCTCACCCTCGGCTTATACTCGAGTCAATAAGATTTCCCATTTTTTTGTGGTAAAATTAGGTGCCTCGGCTTATATTTGGGTTGGTTTATACTTATACTTATATATGGTATATCCTATATACTTATGTACAAATCTAGAAATTTTAGTAATAAAAGAACCTGTGACAACTTACCCATGGGCCAGTATATAAGTACTGTACCATAACTCTTATAAAAAAAGAAACCACCCCCTTCTCTGAGACTACACTGCCATATAATGCAGTTTCAGAATACGCCCTGCCAGACTTCAATACAGTGCTCTGACTCATTCCTTCCAAGCCTTGCCTTTATCTAGCACGTTTTTTAGCAACATACTGACATGTTCAGGCCTGTAGCCAGGATTTTGATTCGGGGGGTGCTGAGTTTCATTCGGGGGGGGGGGCTGGGTCTGAGTGAAAGAGGGTCTCCCTAGCAAACCTTTTGTATCATTACCCCAATACCCTCATGCATATGGGATATATTGAGCATGGTGATCAGATCATGATATGAATGAACATAACAGTTTAAATAATGCACCAGTAAGGCCTTCTTGTGGACCACCATGAGAATTTGGGGGGGGGGGAGCTGAAGCCCCAAACACCCCCCCCCCCGCCCCGGCTACATACCTGGACATGTTAATGGGCATGTGAAGTCTCCAGATGACTTCAGACAAAATGCACACAAAATGGATAGGTAACTTAGATCCCTTCTACATTGCCAAAACATCCAGATTATATGGCAGTGTAGACTCATATAGTCCAGGTCAAAGCATATAATGTGGATTTTATTTGGCAGTGTAGAGGGGGCCTTAGAGTGCAGTCAATTTCCTCCTGGACTTCAGTATAGAAACAGCTTGCATCATTAGCCACAGTCTTGCTTATCTGTCTTCTCTGCTGTATCTCAGTAATGTATTGAATACCTTCTGACCTACAAGTCTTATTTTCTGGCACTATCTTTTGTTTCAATTTGGATTTTCTCATCATAAGATTTTTAAGGTAGAGAAAGAAAACTTTGGATATAGCTTGCCATTGCATCTTTCTGTGTTGTACTAAGAAGCATTAGCTATGGTGCCACTGCTGGTGTCTTAGAGATCCTCTGTCAAGTTTCATCTTCCACCCATTAAGTCTGATTCCTTGGCAAAAGCCTGTCTTACCTGGGTGACCCTACCCGTAGTTACCAACAGCATAGTCTTTTCCCTCACAGGAGCACACAATCTTGCCACCACAGAGAGATAATGCCATGGTGATTATGAAAGGGATATTTGACTGTGTCCAATTCTGGGCACCACAATTCAAGAGAGATATTGACAAGATGGAATGTGTCCAGAGGAGGGCAACTAAAATGATCAAGGGTCTGGAGAACAAGCCCTATGAGGAGCGGCTTAAAGAGCTGGGCATGTTTAGCCTGAAGAAGAGAAGGCTGAGAGGAGACATGATAGCCATGTATAAATATGTGAGAGGAAGTCACAGGGAGGAGGGAGCAAGCTAGTTTTCTGCTGCCCTGGAGACCAGGACGTGGAACAATGGCTTCAAACTAAGGAAAGGAGATACCATCTGAACATTAGGAAGAACTTCCTGACTGTGAGTAGAACGCTCTGCCCCGGAGTGTGGTGGAGTTTCCTTCTTTGGAGGCTTTTAAACTGAGGCTGGATGGCCCTCTGCTTTGAATGCAATATTCCTGCTTCGTGGCGGGGTTGGACTGGATGGCCCACGAGGTCTCTTCCAACTCTATGATTCTATGATTCTATTACTACAGCGCCCAGCAGATCTATCAAATACTAAATAATGGTGTATGCATGTGGGTATATATGAATGTATGTATCTTGATAGCCAGGCAACCGCCACCTGTCCTGAACGATGGAAGCAACATTATTGCTAATACTTACATTATAAGCATCCCGAATAAGCTGGATGATGTTATCTGAGTTGGCCCTCAGCTCTCCTACTGCAGACTTTGGGATCATCTCACTGAGTTTCTACCAATGAAGAACAAATATACTGAAAGCATTGCCTCGCCTTATAGGATAGGTATGATTATAGTGCAAAAGTAAAGGAGTAAATGTCAGTTAAGGTAACCTCCTTCCTTCAAATCATCCAACAGCTCCTAATAAGTGTAATACTTTTTCATGCAGATTGTGTACTATGACCCTTCTATATCACTGGGAATATTTCTTACTTTGTATGTTTCAACCACATCACTGGTAACAGCAAATATGGGCTGGATATTATTTTCTTTAAGTTTCTGTACCAGCTGTCCAACAGATGGATAGTCCTGTGAGAAAAAGAAAACAGTGAGGATGGGAAGCAATTGCACAACAAAGATGACATCTGAAAGCAAGTACCTTATAGTCTCCCCAATTTCTCACATTCCTCTTTGCTTATGTACAAGAGAATGTAAATATCTACAGTTTTGCATTTCAATATTTTATTTTATTCTAAAGGCTTCCTCTGTCCAAGGAAGCACACATGAGATGCATAATATGGTATAAGATAGTCACAGAAACTAAAATTTAATTATCATTAGAATGAAAAGCACAAAGCACACTTAGTTTATTCTAATTTCCTCAACCAATGTTACAACTCTTTCTACCAAAGCAATTTCATGGATACTCCAACCTTGGTTAAAGCTTATCTGGCACAATATTACAAGCTACATTGTGGTAAGTAATACTCATTTTCAGCACTTACATATTCGTTACTCTTTTTATACATGTTTTCTTCCAGATGGCATTCCCCATCATAAGGTGTTAAGATGGCTCCAAGTTTACCATCCCCAGCAAAATGGAAACCAGCATCTGTTGCATATACTAACAGTCGAGTATAGTTCTTCCAACCTATTTTACTCTGGATTTGAAATAAAGAACAAATGAATAAATATTTAAAATAGTCATAAAATCTAAGCAAGAAAGGACATAAAACATCAATATATTTTAACTTTGTTCTAAAAGACAGATAACATAAAGGTTGCCATATATTTGGGGGGGAAAATCTCAGGAACAATGTCGTGAACCAGATGCCTTAAAGGAGCCAGACACAAGTAAAAGGTCCAAACACAACAAAAATGGCTTAGAAACACTTAACTCAGTGTTTCTAGCAATAACTAAAAGTCTGCAGCAACTGCTGTGTAAAAAACAAAACTTAGCGGATAATCCGGATTATACTGGAATATAATCCGGGATAACTGAAAGTTCAAGCAAACTGCTTCAAAATCACAGAGTTCATTAAACACAAGAAAACAAGGCAGGAGCAAGCAAAAACGTAGTCAGTAAACAGTCCCAAGTCAAAGAATGTCCAAAAACAGAAGTTCAGGTCCAAAACGCGATGTCGTCGTCCAAAAACAATCCAGAGTCAAAGAGGAGGTAGAAGTCAGCACTTACAGGATTCCAGTCAGTAGAAGCAGCGATCTGCAGTCCCAGGACCCAAGGCAAGAGTAAAGGCAGCAATAAAGTCCCAAGCCCGATACAACACTTTGCCTACTGCAAAGTTCCCTAAGTTTGATACCTTCTTATATCCTATAACTCATTATCGGATGAGAAGCTGCTCCCACCCTGTCCTCATCGCTCTCAGCTGCTGTTGCTTTCACAAACAATATTCTGATTGGTTTCTAAATGGTTTTTTTCCCCTCCTGTGTTGTTCTTGCCATGAGAAAGTTCCTAATGAAACCACAATAACATAACCAAGAGATTTATACTTTTTTTTTTGCCAATTCCTCCAAATGGCTTCAGTGCTAAAAGAAATGAAATGCAAAGTCCTTATTCATCACATTCACCCAAAACAGTTTCAAATGTTTAAAAGCAATGCTTTTGTTTAAAATGTTTAATTTTTAATTTTAATTTAATTTTAATGTATAATGTTCAAATGTTTAAAAGCAATGCTTTCGGAAGAAGTGGAGTGGGCAGATCAAAAGACAACCTGGCAAAATGGCACTACCTAAAAGAATCCCCCACCTTGGGTGACTGTGGAGCAGAACAGACAACTCCACATCTGTATGCTTGTCCACTATGCCCTGCCTCATATACAGAGGAAGAATTGTTGCAGGCTACAGACAATGCAGTTGCTGTTGCCCGTTTTTGATCAAAAGATATTTAGCTGCCTGCGCTCCTTCTATTTTTATCAGTTTTATACTAATTTATGCAATGCTTTTGATACAAAATAAATAAAATCCCAAAACAGTTTAGGAACAATTTTGATCCCCAGTGAATACTGGCTTGTGATTTCCACCCAAGCTTAATGCCACAAGTCAAAGAAACAATCTTTATTCCAGAATGCAGAAAATGTGTTGCTGACTGGCAGTACACTCCTGTTCTCAGTCAACAGCCCTGCTTGCTGCAAGTTTACATACCCAATTTAACAGGTGGGTTTAAATCCAAATTCTCACACAATCTTGACCCCACATATCTGTCATCATCATACTCCATCTCTTGTACTTTAAGATATGTAGGAGATGACCTTGTACAGATGTCCCATGCTTCCCAACCTACAACAAGTAGCCAGAGGAGCTTTTCTGTTACAGATTTCATGTGCATTGGGGATATATTCATGAAAATGCCTATTTTCAGAGACTTATTAAAGTAGATTCCATCTTTTGATTGCCTTGCTGCAAGTAGGCTGTATTTTCTATGTTTTATTTGATTATCTTACTCATTTTGTTTTATTATATTCCCCTTCACTACACACACACAGTCCTGAATATTCTGGAGGCACCAGTTCCCATTAGGTTTTTGGAAGTCAAAGCCTAGTTTGGCCCCATCTTATACTGTGTTATAATGCGGGGACATGAGAGAAGCCTCCCACAAGGATGATAAAAACATCAAATCATCCGGGCGTCCCCTGGGCAACGTCCTTGCAGACGGCCAATTCTCTCACACCAGAGGCGACTTGCAGTTTCTCAAGTTGCTCCTGACACGACAAAAAAAAAACCGATGAAAACCCTATGAAATTAATGGGGCTGCCATAAATTGACAGGATGACTTAAAGGCACATGCACACACATAAATAAGAATGTAATACAATGATACCTAAATGGTTTAGGTTAATATTTGTTGGCCTGTAGCCCTGGCATTGAACAAAGTATGTACTGATTCAGTATTAATTCACAGAAACTTATACTGAAACTGTTTGCAGGGGGCATGGTCTAATGTACTCAATTTCTATAATCCGCATTTCATTAAGGCATCAGGAGCCCCTGGTGGTGCAGTGGGTTCAACCCTGGTGCTGGCAGGATTGCTGATTAACAGGTCAGCTGTTTGAATCCAAGGAGAGCAGGTTGAGCTCCCTCTGTCAGCTCCAGCTCCCCATGCAGTGACATGAGAGAAGCCTCCCACAAGGATGGTAAAACATCAAAACA